CCCGCCCCCGGGGCCCCAGGGCGCATGCGCCAATTCCAGCTGACATGTCCGAGGCCCCTCAGCTGTTCTGACCCGACCCTCCTCGCTCTGCGCGGTCTGCTGGCCCGGCCTGCCTGGCCGCATCCCCCTCACCGGCCACCCAATCTGTGCCGATCACAGCCGCGGCCCGTGCCCCTGACAATCCCGATTGTTAAATCAAATTAAACGAGACAACGACTCCCCCGGGCCGGTACTTCCCTCCCAGAGAGGGCCACATGCACCAGCGGACGACGTGGGGATAGCCAGCGCACTCGCATACTGTACTTTGCGCACAAACACACATCCACACGCACACGCACACAACCCTCGTGGTCATGAATACTGATCACATATGCACAAATAGTTACCTTTTTCTAGAGAGCCGGTAGGAAGCGCCGGGCCACGGCCTGGACGGGTCGGCGCTGCGCTGGGCTGCGCTGGGGTCGACCCGGAGCCTGCCTTGGACCTGCTCGGAAAGCGAGCTGGTGGCGGTCCTGAACTGGGCACGCTGGGTGGCTGCAGCAGTGGCGGTGCGGTGTGCTGGACCTGGAGGAGCTTCAGCAGTGCACTGGGCTGTCTGCTGACGCCTGCCTCTGTGCGTCCGCAACGGTCGTCCCCCTCTGCCGTCGCCCGGCGAACTGACTGAGGCAGGGCAGGGCCGGGGCAGGGCCGGGGGCCCGAGGGTGGGGAGGCGCCGCTGTGCGGTACGGTGCGGTACGGGCCATGGGGTAGGGCGTGGGAGCATGGGGAGGGGACGGCGCTGGCGCTACAGACATCGGCACACAGGCGTCGGCATGAGCCCCGAAGCGACGCTCGGCTGCCTCCAGTGAGCGGCAGAAACAAACGGCAACGTCCGGCGGGTGGATCAGCGCCAAATGCTGTGTCGGATCGTAATGAGAGCTTCAATTACGAAATGAGAATTTGTAGAGGAAATATAGCTGATGCACATAATTTATTTTACATAAATCAGTCAGTACATGGATCAAGTTTGTGTCAAACTCAAAGTAGTCCAGCTGACCCTGAATAAAAGTAAACACATTTGAAAAGGAAGTTGACAGATAAAAAATCAAACATCTCATTTAAAATCAAAAACGTTCAGCTGGAAAAATTAGCAATACAAATTCAATTTCTGTTGAGGTATGTTGGTATATTTACAGTTGGTAAAAGTCTCCCAGGTGCAATAGAACACAAATTCAAATTTAAATTACATTTGCATAGAAAGTACATAATCTAAAGTACAATTTTAAAACTTGTCTGAAATTAAAGGCACAGATAAAAAGATTTCAGAAAGTTCATTAACACGTTGAGTGCGGCGGGGGTATGCAATATGTTATTAGGCCCAACCGTGTGGGTCACGTCGCACTCAACGTGTTAATCAATTAAGTTACAATAGTGAAGAATACTCTTAAAACTATTTCTACAGGTACTCTATTTTCATCACAATGCAGCCTTACAATGCTTGTTTATACTAGAACTAAATTAAACTGAATTCTTCTGGTAATACATAATACCGTACATTTAGTAGATAGAAATTTCAGTTATACAAATGCAGTCAGGCATACTCAAAATAAGACAAACAAAACCACATACAAGGAAAATAATCCAAATATATATAAATATAAAAAAATGTTTGTTGGTAGTTGCTTAAATGTGCAATTATCTAGATTAGATTTAAGTATCACAACACCTTATGAAAACTCAAAGTAGTCAAGTACCCCCACAAAAATGTCTACTGTTATCTATTTTATTTTAATTACTGTATGGCTGGACTATGGCAACAGACAAAATTAAAGTCATGCCTGCTATGAGCATTTAATTGCAACAACAGTACAAGAAATAAATGGCAGGTAACATGTAAAGTAATACTTCTTTACAAGTATAAAGCACTTTGGTGGGCTACTACATTATAACATGGAACTAAGAAGACTAGCAGGCGCAGATATTGCATACATACATTTTTCTTAATTGCCTAGGTTGAGGATCAAGAACAGAAATAGTGCAAAACAACTGCAATTAATTTACTTTGGTGGATTTAATAATAATGCATCAAATCGCTGCTGTACCAAATTAAAATTTGATACACATTCAGAGAGACTATTAGATGGGCCTCTGCTGCTTGTAGAGAGCCTGTAAACACAAAACACATACAAATTTTAGTTGAAGAAAAATTTTAACATGTGTAGATAGAACAGTCTTATCCTTTAACCCTGGCCTCATTCACAAACCTTGGATACTGTGAGCTTGATAAATGTTGAGTCCTAAGTTGACGAGGTCTTTCCAAAGTAGGAGGGGACTGAGAGAGACCACTGCGCATCTCCTCTGTTGGTATGTGGGTGGCAGTAAAGAGTGAGCTATGGCCTACACAATGGATAGATAAAAGTCAATACCGTCCGTGAATTTTCTAGTTAATAAAGTAAACAACATTGTAATGATTTAAAAGAACCTTGAGGAATAGATGAAGTTGAAAATGCACAGTGAGAAACAGTCTGCTGCACTACTACACCACAGCCAATACGTTTACCACGAAGCCATCTCTCAACCATAAATTGCATCCGATGAACAGCCATCATCACCATCACAACAGATCTGCAAAAGTTTGATTTGAGTCCAGATTAACTGAGCCAAGAACAACTCAGTTTCCAATAAAAACAAAACATACTGTGCAAAATACTGACCTAAACCTTCTGAGAGGATTACGCTTTAAAACTTTGTTATTTTCAATTGAGTTTGCGAGGTAATGTGATGTTAGTGATTTTGATTCATTTAGTCCACTAATCACTGAAAGAAGATACCGTTTTTGCCACACCAAAGCTTTTCTGTAGCTCTGCATACGAAGGTATCGTCCGAAAAGGTGGCTTACCTGAGGGATGACATTTACTTAGTAGAAATTTAATAAAACTAAAGCTGTAGAGGTAACAGCATTTATTACATAGATACTAACCCTTTCTTCTACATCAGAATCGGAACAGAGCATATGCTTTTGCTTGGCTTCATTTAAAGCCAGTAGCAACATCTTTTGCTCAGCTTCCCACTCAGCTTTTTCTGCAGCAAACCGTGCATTGGCTACCTCAAAACTTTCATTACTTCGTTTCTCCGACAACTGTCCCTCGAGTTGAGCAATTCGTCGTCGCAATTTTCTATGCTCTTCAGTAAGATCTTCCATTTGTTTTGCCATTCTCACATTTTCTTCTATATGCTCCTCAAGAAATGTGTTCATATTCTAGGGAAAAGTAACATGATAAATTTTCATTACGTAACTTTGATTGAAAGAAAATCAAAATAGGTAAAACAGAAATTAGAAGTTTTACAACATTAAAAAACAATAATCTTGCAGGCCGCTCTCTTGGACGAACGCAAGAGAAATCATATTACGTAATTTCTCGAATATAGGTCGTTTAAAACCTGGCGGGTGGACAGTTGAAGATGTCTTTCCGGCGTCAGTCTACTTAACACCACGCTGACATTGCCTAATTGCCTCTTGGCACGAAACCGAGATGGATATATTTAGCCAATGTCGTTTGCCAAATTTGGGGCGTGGCCACATAGTGGTCAGACCCTGGCTAGAGGAAACAGCGACACGGTAACTACCGAATCTCCCGCACACACAGCTTGTAATCTTGGACTAAGTTGCAGTCAAAGGGCGGTATAGCAAAACGAGGCACACGGACTCGCGAAAGTCCTATCCTGCCATCGCATGGGTGGCCGCTCACAGAAGCCCGCGTCCCACTTAGGGGTTTAAATCGCATCTGGTCGCACCGTTCAAAATATAGACTTCAGATTTTAATACTTTGTTAAGGAAGGATGAAACTTAACTTGTACATCCCATTTTCTCCAAATGTTAACTGGCTGGAATACTGATGAGCGCTAAATTTACCCATCTCTGTTGCCAGGAAGCAATCAGGCAATGTCAGTGTGGTTTTAACCAGACTGACAACTGACAAGAAAACACCTTTCACTGTCTGCTCGCCAACTTTCAAATTAATTAAGCGACCAAAATTCAAAAATACATATGATACATTTCATCATGCATCGCACGACGCACGGTCAAGGGCGGGGGACTGGAGCTCCCTCTCAAACACTGACCTTTAATCTCTCAACGAATGGAGCATGATTTTTAAGTTGGGTGTCTCTGTCCTTAGCAAATTCGTCATGAGCAACATGAAGTTTCTGGTTCACAGCAGCAAGCTCTTGACGAAGCATTACACATTCTTGCTGAGTTTCAGCCTGGAGGGAGATAGAAATTTATTACAGTATACTGAATACAACAGGAATAAATGAATCATAATCATCCTGAAATTTTTCATACATGTAATGTTTGAAGTTGATCAATTTTTCGCCTATGCTTTTCTTCAGTGACAGCTCTCCTACGACTTCTTTGAATTTCTACCTCCTGCAATCGTCTTAGTTGCTTTTCTGCTGCTTCTTTCTCCAAACGCAACTTTGTAAGTTCAGATTCCTCATAATACTGCAAATAATAATACCTTAATTGAAGCAATGTTTTATCAAAATGTCTAATGAATGCTGTATCAAAATCATAGCAGAATAATTCTTTTCTGATATAAGTTTTCTGATTTAGTTCGCAAGGTAAAGCATAATACACACCCGTACCTGAAGTTTTTCATTTACTGGACGATGGCCAGTTGAATTTGCATCAGTACAAACCAATCCCTACAAATATTTTTAGAGAATACATGTACAAAATCTTAAAAACCCTTGGATAATTATCTAAATGAAAGATACTGTGGGAATTAAAACTGACCTGAGCTTCCTTCAAGTCAGCTAAAGAAGATTTTTGTTTGAATTCAGACTGTAATTGTAATCGAAGAGCATTTTGATCATCTAGAGCCTCTGAGAGTTTAACTCGCATCTCCTAAAATTAAAGAAAAACGTAACAATTACAAAATTCAGCAAACAGAGCAATAGAATTATTTTGAAATACTAAACCTTAATCAAATCACAATCTTGTTGCTGCAAAGTGTAATATTGAGCACGCTCAGCTTCTAACTGAGTGTTTAATAGCTGGAAAGAATCTTTCATTCTGCTCAACTCATCTTCAAGTTGGTGAATCCTTTCCTGAGCATATATGACCTCTTGGGTCAATCTATCCAGAGAGGAGAAAAATTTGTGATTATTATTAATATTTTACTTTATTGATAGGTCTAATTTCTATTTTCTGTTACCTAGATTCCACCTCAGTACTCAAACTTTTCTCACTCAAGCCTAAGAAGAGAGAGAGAGATATATATTTATATATTATATGTATATAGTCAGGGAGTTTTTGAAAGAATTACAAAAAAAAAACAACGACAATGAATACTAAGTTCTTACCACGTCCGTTTGGAGTTTGCTTTATCACAGGCACACTTGGCTGTAAGATAAGTACAGGTTAGAATATGTATTTTTAACAGAATTTTTATCTTTCCCTTTTTCAAACAACATATTTGAGTATGAGTGTTCATCGGAGTAAGTGTACTGTACCAATGCAAAAGGGACATAGAGCACTTACATTTTTACTGGATGGGTCTATTGTTTCCAATAAAGAATGATCTAGCTGTACTGATACATGCAATTCATGCTGCACAAGTCCAGTGAGATCTTCAAGAGATTCAGATTCTGTAAATTGTATGAAGACATTTCAATACCGTATTTTAATATCTAATAACAAGAATAGGAAATTGAACTAAACAAACCTTTCAGAGGAACGTTTTCTGGCGGTATTTCATTAATGTCAATTTCTGTTAAAGTCAATTTGTTAAATGGGCCATCTCCTGCACCAGTGAGATCAGGTCTGTGAAATTGTCTCTGCAATTTAAAAAGAGTCTGACGATCTTCTTCTGCTAACCCAGAAGTATCATGTATACTTTTGTGAATGTTCTTCAAAGCTTTTCGTAGTGAAAAGAGTTCTTGCGAGAGGGCATTATTTTGCATCTTACTCTCACTTATTTCAGTACTTTTTGACACCAGTGATTTCTGGGCTTTGTCTCTAGATGCATTCACCCCATGCATTTCAATTATAAGTTGTTTCATATCAGAAAGTTCTTTACATACTTCAAAATTTTCTTCTTTAAGCACAGCATTGTCATGTGAAAGTTGCTCAATTTGCTTTTGTAACAAACTACGATCCAGAAACGAGTCATCAACACGTCTTTTAAGTTCTGAAATTTCCCTCAAATGTTTATTTCCTTCAGAATGTTCAGCTTTGTCCATGATCTGCATATTTTTCACTTGATCCTCAAGAGACTTGCATTTCTCTTCCAGAGAGGAAGCTCTATTTTTAAACAACAAAAGCTCTTCTTTAAGAGCTTCAGCGAACTTTTTCTCAGCATCTAACTTGTGTGCCAGAGAAGTTGCTTCTCTAATAGGAGTACTGAGTTGATTTTTAAGTGCAACACACTCCATATTGAGTTGATTCATTTCAGTGCGCATCATGTTGTTTTCTTTCTCCTTTTCCAAAACACTTTTTTTAGCCTCAATTAGATCACTTTCTATTCTGCTCAGCAGTTTTTTTGAACTTTCTTGCTCTAGTTTATCTAAAGTTGTCATAAGAGATTGTTTTTCTTGCTGCTCACGCTGTAATATTTTTTCAAACTCAGATTGTTTTAACTGATATTCTCCCTCCATTTCAGACCTGATTGACTGGCATAACTCTCTTAGCTCAACAATCTCCAGTTTAGCTGCTTCTAGCTCGTTCTGAACAACCCGCAGAGCCTGCAAACAAGAGATATTACGTATGTAGATATTTACTAAATATTAACCGCTGACATAATGATAGGTAACACAAATTACTTGATTGTTTTCTGGTGAGGACCGGTTAGGAGATCTGGCAATTTGTTTGGCTTCTTGTACTTTACGTTGCAAGCTAGTGAGAATTGTCTGAGTGGCACAAACTTCATTTCTAAGGCGCTGAATCTCAGACTCTTTCGCCTTGAGCTGGACCCAAATAAAGTAATTAATTAATGAAAAATACACAAGACGAAACAGAACACAGAAATATTGATGTTACAAATGTACCTCAGAAACATCTTGGCAGGGTTTTACAGAAAGTACTTCCTCATCCTTTTCTTGAACACTAAATGTATTTGCCTGAACTTGGTTCAATTGTTCTGTGAGCTGTGCAACCTCAAGACCTCTGTCATCATACAATTTCTGCGGAGAATTTTTAATTGAATTAAATTTGAAGTACTCTTTGGAATCATTTTAATTAACATGAACTTAAAAGCAATACCTTTAAAGTTTCGTGTCTTTCTCTGAGATGTGCAAGTTCTTCTTCTAGGATTGATATTCCTTCCAATTTTTTCTCACATTCTTCCAAACTCTTGTTTTTTATATGCATTTCAGAAATAAGATTGGCATTGTCATTTAATTTTTTTGTTAAGTCTTCAATTTCCTTAGTCTTAGCTTCAAGCTCTTGTTCAAGGCTTGCCACCTGCTTTTCACAACTAGCAAGACTTGACGTATCAAAAGTTCCAGTTGTAGAACTTAGGGTCTCTGATGCACTTTGACTATTTGAATTTTGCTGGGACTGTGGAGTTGACTGCATCTCAGACTAGAATTAGTTCAAAAACCACAAGTGTAAATACATATTCCACACTTAAAGAAGTCATTATATTTTATAACAAGGGGGGGGGGGGGGATTAAAATTAGTCAACAGTAACACACCAAAGTGTCCTCTAATGGAATAGGTTTCACGCTGACATCTGTTCCGGGATGTAATTCCTCTCCATTGTTCTCAAGGGAAGTCTGATGAGCAATAAATGAAAGAGGGGTATCATTTGGCCGCGGTTCACTTTTTCCAAGGGTGCTTTCCTGTTGGATATTCAAATAAATATTTCAGTAAAAGTAATTCTCTGAAGCACTCATCCCAAAATTTGAAAGAATCAAACATGAATGGATCATAAAACATACATTAATCACAGGTATAGGTAGGCTTCTTCTTAGTTCCATAACAGGGGATAAGGCAACATGTGCACGTACTTTCTCAGATTCACAATATTCAAATTCTACGGTAGTGCTAGGTGTTACAACATAGTGACTACTCAGCTCCATCTGAAAATGATAAGAAGTGCGGGATCTACAATTACACCAAAATACAACAGTAACAGAAATTGAAAGGATGAAAAATTGATATAAAGCAAGTTTTGTAAAACTCAAAAGAACTAAAGCTCATAAGGATTGAACAAAGCTGAGCTAAAACAGGAGACAAGTTATAACATGGCATTGGCCTGAATCTCTTTGAGAGAAAAGGAAGACAATAATGGCAAACAACAATAGGACTCTGAGTAAAGATTTGAACAGCCTTCTAGAAGGCATGCAAAAAATATCTCAAAGTAAAGCACATTTGATTCCTAATACAGGATGTAGTTTAAGATTTCTTAAAGCATAAATTGTTATGAGCACATGTATTATATTGTCAGTAATGCACACATTTGTTTTACCTGCTTGGTCAAATGATGGACTTGTTGTTCTAATCTGTCAATATCAGCATTTTTGTCAAGCAGCATTGATTCAACAAGGGCAGGTATGGAAACATGCATATCATCTTTTTCTGAAAGCAGTGCCTAATAAAATGTAAAATAAGAGATAAGGGTTAGATGTATACATCTACATAGCACACAAAAACAGGGTAGTAAATAAACAAAGATGTGGTTAAGATTATAAATACAGTGAGCAATTATTGTAGGTACTTTGTGCCAAAGCTTGGTGAAGTCAACACTTTTTCAAACATGCAAATGAACTGAAAGAAAGTCATGGTCATGAAGCAAAAGTACTCCTAAAATCATTAAAACCTATACAACTAACCTGAAGCTTATTTTTGTCAGCACTTAGCTTAGATATCTGAGACTGCAGTTGAGCAGCAATATTGCGTTCAAGCTCAGCGTTATTCTTTATATCCGCATCCCGTCCTCTTAATTCATTTTCAGCACGGCACAAGGCTGCTCTTAGACTTTCAACCTGTAAATGTCAAAAACTTGTAGATACTGTAGACTTTTGGCAACTTTGGTAACAAATGAAGTAAATTTTGTACACAAACCTGCTTTTCTCGAGCTTCTAAATTTTCTGAATAACTACTTATCCCACTTCTTAGATCCTCTATTTGACTTTGCATTTCGGCTGTGGCCTCAGTGAGCTTTACATCAGCTTTCCTTCTATGATCTTCGAGTTTCGCTTGTAGTGAGGATGAAAGGTGCATTTGCTCTTGGAGTCTATTGACTAGAGCTTCTTTTTCAGCTTGCAAGTCATCCACTTGCATATCCAACTCACGTATTTTTTTAAGAACTGCATCATCAGCTCTTGCATGTCTTTGCCATTGGTCCATAACTCTTGAAACTTCATTGAAAGGTAAAACTAAACAAGAATCTGATTGCTGAGAAGCATCTTTCTCAGCAGCTGCACGAATAGCTTCAATTGTTTCTCGAACAGATACATCCTCTGATGGTGAACTCAAACAAGGGCTGGCTGGTAGTGTGCTATTAACATATGCACATTCTAATTCTCGTGTGTGTAACTCAAGAGACGCAGTTAGGTCTTGCAGCTACAAAAATCAATGGCATCACAAAAAATACAGAACAAAGCAGCAATGGATATATCCGAGGATATATCGGACACATACAACCTTTACCTGAATTTTCATTTGTTCTATGAAGCTTGGATCACCTAGCTGCTCTGCCAAAGCCTGGTGTTTACTGAGTTGTTCTTCCAATTGACTAATTCGTTCAACAAGTCTGCCATCATTGGTACAAAGCTGCAGCTGCTCCATCTATCAAAAAACAAATTTACTATAGCCTTTCAAAAATCCAAGCAGCTGTAAATATTTTCTTGGTAATAACTTACTTCTTGAGCAAGCTCTAGCTGAGTACGGCCTTGTTGTTCAACCATTTGACGAAGAGCATCATTTTGCGCTGACACAGTTGCTGCTTCCTCAGCTTTGGTAGCTACTTGGCATTCTAAATCACTTATTATGTCTCTTAAGGTCCAAATCTATTAATTAAACATACAGTATATAAATATCATGCAAAAACAATAACATTAACATCACCAAGGAAAATAAGTTTAGTTTAATTGAATACCTTTTCAACAGCTTGTTTGTGCTCAGCACTCAATTTTTCTAGCTTTTCTTGTTTGTCCTGAAGTATAGCCTGACTCTCTTTCAATTGACCCTCTAAAGACTCTACCTATAAAACACAAATGGCAATAAAATTGAATTACTAAAATTTCAAAATGTGTATCAATATAAAATTAGATAGATAAAATCACACTAGATACACACACACATTCACCATTCACAACAACATTTAGTCACATATCTAAAAACACAGTTTTGCCGCAACTTTCAAGTACACTCACTATGAAGCTAAAAGAAAGAGCTAAAATAAATCAAACAGAGAAGAACCACAAAACCACAAACAAGCACTTCTGCTCCCATTAGCTGAGAATCAATCCAAGGCATCTAGTACTTACAAAACAAATAGAAATAGAGAGATGTGTCACAACTTACAGATATTGAAGTGCCAAGGTGCTTCAGGTGCATGCATATTTCACGGGTTGACTGTCAGTGCACAAAGATACAACTTTTAGTTAAGACTATGGATCAGCAAAACAATGACATAAAAAATTGGACAATTCTTTTGAACACATGTTTATTTATGTTTATGATATCTGTTCTCTGTTATCAAATGTTTTCAAAGACACATTAAAATTTTGTCATGGAAAATTAATTTTACAAAACTATGAACCTGAATCAGTCCGTATGAAACACAAAGATAGATAAGCCAAGATCAGTGTCCAACCCGTCAACCGCAGTCAACAAAGAAATAGTACAAGTTTTGTTGACTACACAAATAAACCTGTTGATTGTCATTTTGCATAAACCCATTTTCCAGTAACTAGACCCACCTTAGCACAAGGTTAAAAGACTGTGCCACCTTCTTCAAGAGAGGAAACAAGCAAATACCCATTCAAATTATTGGTGTTAGATCCATGAAAAAAATGGCTTAGAACAAGTGAGTGCATTACAGAAGGTGATGAAGAAATTTGTATCCCAATCAGAACTTTGAGTGAAAGACAAGTGTAAGGAAAAAGAGTATACCTCATGGTTCATAAGTTGATGAGAGCTCCGATCGCGGTCTTTGTCCCGAACCAGTTCATGCAAGCGCTTAATTTCTTCAACATAATCATCACGTTCTTGTTCTCGTTCTGCTGCTTGTTCATCCATGAATGCCCTAGTTGCCCGCAGCTGTTTGTCTACTGCTTCAACCTTTAAAAGAATAAATCCATAAATATAAAAAAAATAACAAAATGTGTGGTTGCAATTTTACATTGCTAAATATGAATAGGCCAAACCTGTTGTTGCAAGTCTTCATGTTTATGCCTAGAATCTTCTGCCAAACGTTCCCAGTCACGACACAATTCCTCTACAATGTGGGGCAAATGTTGACTTGAATTTGGAGATAATACTCCAGACACTTCTTCAGTATTACTAGTTCCCAAGAGAAGAGATCGAGCTGTAAAAGAGGGAGCATGATAGATTTGATACATACTACATTTGTAACCGTAATAAGGTAATAGTGTGTTACAACTAACCTTTATTTTGCAATTCTTCAACGGTGGTTGCACGAGGACTGCTTGGAAAGTCACATGTCATTGATTGCTCGCCTTCTCCATATCCTTCAGCAACCACCTCAGCTTGGTGGCGTGCCTCTTGCTCCAAACTATTAAGACGCTGGCGAGTGGCTTGAAGCTCAGCAAATGACTTTTCTTGTTCTTCACATAAAATTTTCAACTCATTCTGAAGCCCTTCATTTTCTCTCTGAAGTCGTGCAATAGTTTGGAGAGCATCTGATAGTTTTCCAGATTGATCGCCCGAAGGTGATTCTTCATTAGATAGATTGGCACATGATTGTTTTGATGAGACAGAGGGTAGAGCAGGCTTTGATAAGGCATATAATGCTGCAGAGTCACTGCGTAACCGAGCTAAACATCGATCAAGCTCTTCTTGGAAATTCAATGAGGCATCTCGCATGCTACAGTTTAAACCAACACTTTCAAATAAAGATCCATCATCAATTAAAGATAGGATGCCAGAAACATCAGGTGCAAAATGCACCCGTTTAACACAAGACGACAAGCGCCTCCCTCGAGCTGGTGTTGCTACTATGATGGGCATTTCATCTTCACTAGCAGTGGAGTCTCTTTGACTGACATCACATGATTGGTTCAACATGACACTATTGTCATGGTCTTGGTGAGTGACAGTCAGAATGTCATCATCTCTCCCTGCTTCTAGCTTCACTAGTTCATCCATTAAAGTGTTATTGAAGTCATCTTCCCATGACACAAAATATCGAACCAATTCTGCCACCACATCACGTAAGGTTGCAGCAACACTTCGAAGACAGTCGCGTTCTCTATAGAGTTTATCTAAATCTTCAGCAGTAATAATAGCATGTTTAGACTGTTTCTTACTTCGAGCCAATGACAACTGCGATGCATGCTTTGCATTTAGTTCTGATATCTTAGCTTCATATTCTGTTTGCATATTCATCAATTTTTCATGATACTTTGAGGCTAATTTTTTCTCTAACTGCTGTAGTTCAGGAGGCTTATCGTCAACATTAGTATTATCATCAAGAAGTAGCTGAATTTGCTTCTCAAGTGCCTGGACAATATCACCCCGTGCTTCTACTAACTGTAGTTGGAAACGTTTTTCACAGTCTTTTTGGACACTTTCAAGTTTCATCTCAAGATCTTGATGTAAGATTTGCTGGTATTGGTCTACTTCATTGCATAACTTAACAACAATCTTCTCAAATGGTTCTTGTTGACTTTCCACCTGCGATTCAACCAACTTTAACAATTCCTGAAGACAATTCTGAAGTGATGATTCTTTATTATATCTCTCACTATCCAACAAATTTGTGAAGCTGCTTTTAATTAGAGGCTCTCCATCAGCTTGACTGGAATTACTTTTTGAAGGACTCCTAAAAGAAGCCAATTCTTTCTCATATTTATCAATGATTTGCTTCACTTCATCCTCATGTTTACTAACTAGTTGCACTTTAGTTTCATCAGCACACTTTTTAACAAACTCAAGGTATTCAGTATACTCTGCTTCCAACAATGTTCTCTTCTCTTCAACTGAGCTGTTAATTTTTTCCTGAATACTTTTCTGTTCTTCTATTTGAACAAGTCGTTCTTTGTTCAAAGCGGATTTCAAATCATTAATCTGACTTTCACATTCCTTGTCCTTTATTTGCATCTGACTTTCACACTCCTCTTTCATTCTATCACATTCCATTTCTGCTTTTTCCTTCAGTAAATTACATTTTTCTATGCGTAATGATAGCTCTTGAATTTCATTGTTTAATTCTTTAATCTTTGTATTTTTTTCATTATTTGATGAAATGAGAGATTGGACATCAGATTCATGTTTTGACCTCAAATTTGACATATCTTTTTCCAGTTTTGACATGTCTTCTTGATTTTGTCTAAGTTTTATTTTAAGGGCTGCAATTTGTGCAGAGCTTTCAGAATCCCTGCGTTTTAAAACATCAGCCATTCTCTTCAATTCATCTTCAAATTGGGATTGTGTCTGCTTATCATGTTGTTTCACATCACCTTTCTTATCACATTCCAATTGTTCCCCTGATGATAAGCTGTCTCTCTGGTGAACAGAAGACAGCTGTTGTTTTAAATGTTTAATTTCATTTTCAGCCTCCAAAAGTTTCTTATTTAGTTCAACTTCTTCATCTTTCATTTCTTGCATACGACTGGATTGAAGTTTCAATTCAGCTGCATGGCTCTCATTCATGTTACGAAGAAGTTCTTCTACTTTTCCTTCAAAAAGCTCCTTCTGAGCTTCTAATTCCCCTTGGTGCCGACTTTCTAAGGCTAGACGCAGAGTCTCAAGCTGCTCTCTATTTTCTAAAAACAGTTTTTCTACATCTACTGTAGGAGTCTGCTCTTCGATGTCCTTAAAACTGCTTTCTCCTAGTAAATCACAAAAATGAGATGGACCACTAGGAACAGCGCAATTAGATGATCCTGGCCCTGCATAGTACATCTCTGAGACAAGCTCTGACTCCGATGCAGAACTACAATCAGAAAGCTTACGACTGTGTTGGCTAAACACTTCTTCTGAGTAATGCTTCTCAAAATCTGCACATTTTTGTTCAAAATATGTGCGTAATTCTTCCATTTGTTTTTTGTGTTTTTCTTCCAGTTCTTTATGAAGCACACTTAAGGCAGTTTCATTAGGTTCAGAAGTTTCCCCCACATTTTGCTGTGTTAATAGAAGTCGAAGACGAGAAACTTCAGCCTTATGAGCGGCAGACATGCTTTCTATAGTTAGGCGATGTTCCTCTTTTGCTTTCATTAATTCATCATGTTGATTTTTTATACCACAATGAGTATTAAATTCTTTTGACATCTCTTGAACTTTTTCAAGCATCAAGTTGTGATTTGACTCACAAATAGAAAGGATTGATTGAAGTCCTGATGTCTGCATATCTAAAAGCTTTTCTCCTATTTCATGGGCCCTTGCAACCACATTTTCAAAATTATTGAGACAATCCGCATCATGTATAAGAATATCAAGCTCCGAGTCATTGAGAGTACAAGTTTTCCTTAGGTCGTCCACAAATAGAGAGAGTTGCTGACCCAACTCATTTTGAAGGGTCGATGATACCTTTTGGAGAGCTTTGTTGTAATTGGTAGATATGTGATGTTTCATAAACCGTAGTGATAGATTACTGCAAGACAAGTTAGGGCTTACTTCAGGTGGTTTAGTAAAGAATGATGGTAGCTGTTCCTGCAATTTGTGAATCGCTTTGATTCGAGTAAGATCACATTCAGCACGTACAGCATCTATTTCTTGTTGGTGCAATACTTGCAAGGCTCTCACACTACTTTCAGTTTTGATTCTCTTTTCTATTTCATCAAATTGCTGTTTAAACTTTTTCTCAGCAGCATGAAGTTTATCAGACATTTCTAGTCTTACTTTATTCTCCCTTATTGTTGCTACTCTTTCCATTTCAGCATGCAATAAAGTCATGGCTTGAGAGTGGACAGAATCCATCTCTTCCAGAATGTGTGAGATATTTTCACACTGACTGTCATCAGCAATACGTGAGGCTGAACTTTGTACTTGAGCAGCTTGTGCTCTTAGTTTCCACAACTTAACGGAAGCTTTTTGTTTAGAGAGCTCTTCTTGCAAATGTTCTTCCTGCTGCTGGAATCTTTTTTCCATTTCGCGCATTTCTGCTTCCAATGAGTAATGTGCCTCACAAATATCTTGAAAAGCTATCTGTTTATCTGCCAGCTGTCTAGTCAATAAATCAACATGCAATTGTAGAGCTGGTCCCACCTTGCTAACAATTGTTTGCTGAGTTTCAAGCAATAAAGATTGAAGTCGACGCAGTCCAAGAGCTTCAGACTGGAGGTAGCCACATACAGTTTTGTCCTCATCTTTCTGAAGCTTTACAATTAATGATTCACAATCAGAATTCATCTTGGTGATGATTTTGATCACTGATTCAATTTTTTCTAAAATACCAGGTTTGTGTGTGTTATCCTGTGAATGGCTTTTCTCTATTGGTGCACTTGAAAGTTCTTCAATCAATTGCCAAACTAAGTCAATCGGAGCAGTTGATTTCTCTTTGATGGACTCGTATATGGTTTCCAATCTCATCAATCGAGCTCGTACAACACTATTTTCTTTAAGAGACTTGTGTAAATCACTTGCAAGTGTGATGTGTTCTTTCCAAGACTCTTCCAATAATTTATTAGCTCTCTCTGAATTTTCAGCTAGCCTACAATTGTCAAATGAATACATTTCACATTCAAGTTTGACCTTCCTCAGGTCATTTTCCAGCATAACTTTTTCTTTGGCAATACAAGAAAAATCATTGATTAGATTTGCAACACTATCGATAGTATCAGAAGTCTGAGTAAAATTTTTGCTTTTCCGTAACACATTTCTCATTTTGTCTTCATAGTGCAATTCTTTTTCAACAAGTTCCTTGCGAAGCATTTCAATTGAATTCTTCAAAGTATTTCTCTCTTTGCTAAATATTGCTTCACATGTGCACCATCTCTTTTCAGTATCAATAGACTGGATCTGAGGTGGTGAACGATTGCACTTGACTTCACTATCAGCTTCAAAAAGCTGTGCTTGTAGTTCTTTTACATTAATTTTCAGCTCTAAATTTACTTTTTCTAGATCTTCACATCTTTTAAACCAGTGAGCTACAGCTTCTGATATTCTTGATACTCTTGCAGACAACATTGCTTTTGCAAAACTAGGAGGTAAATCCTTGACAGGAAACTTAACATCCTGAAGAGTTGTCTCACCTTCGGATGATTGAATAGAAGATTTTAAAATTTCCTGCAGGTTAACGACTTGATCTTTTAAGATTTTAATTTCCTCACCATATTTTGCTTTTTCTACAGAAAGTTCTTTTTCCAAAGCATGTTTTGAAGCAATAAGTTCTCTAACTTGTAAATTATAAGACTCGATCTCACTCCTCTGCATAGAAGTTTCATTATTCATTTTGCGAAGTTCTTGTATCTCTAAATCTTTTTTAGAGAGCTCATCTCTTAGTGCAGAAGAGCTATTTTCAAATTCTTCTTTAGCAATCTTTAGATGTTCTTTCACTATTTTCAACTGTGCCTCTGCTTCTTCCCTTTCTTTAATTAAGTTTATGTTTTTCTCTTGAAGTACTTCTATCTTTACCTCAAGAGATGTCACCTGAGACAAATACTCTGTTAATGAATCTTGCAACTGCTTCCTGTCTAGACTGCTTTGTTTATTTGCATCATCATCAGATAGTTGACCTTCACTACAAACACGTTCTTTGTAGTTTTCCTCTAAGGTTTTAATAGAGATATTGCTTTCCTGAATTTGTGAAAGCAGCTTTCCACAATCTTCTTCATACTTGCTCTTTTGAAGTATTAACTCTCTGTTTAGGTTTTCAATTTCGATTTTACACTTTGTTGACGTTTGTCTTTCACCCTCCAGGAGCATTTGAGAATTTTCCAAATCTTTTTGCAGGAAAGAAAGGCTTTTCAATTTCTCATTCAGGACTTCTGTTTCAACTCTGTAGGATTCAACCTGACTTTGCTCTCTACATAGCTGCTCCTTTAGTGATAGGATTTCACTTTGAAGAGCATTGATTTTTTGTTGATCAGCCTTCATTTTTAGTTTTGAACTCTGATCCAATTTTAAGGCTTGTGTCTTAATTTCTGAATTTTTTATTTGCATTTCCCTTACTTTAGAATTTGCATCTTCTATGCTTACACCATAGGCCTTACACCTCTCTTGCTCCAGTAATAATTGCTTACGGACATCTTCAAGCTGCTGTAATATATTGGTGGATTTCTGTCGCTCATCCATTAGCTGTTTGTGTAAAAACTCAATTTGAGGCTGGTGTAAGGTGCATGCTTGATCTATTTCTTTGAGCTGTTGCTCAAGCGACTCAATCTTTTCTCGGTATTCTTCACTTTTGTCCTCCTCTTCATTTAATTTTTCACCCAACTCCTGAACCTGTTGACTATACGTCCGACTCCACTGACGTTCTTCTTCAAGCTGTTGTTCTTGAATATTTAACAGTTTGTTTTTCTCTCTTAGCTCTGCTCTATATCTTTCAGCATCTCGCTTACTAGTATTAACCTCATTTTCATGAGACAACTGCTTCATGGCAAGCTCTTCCATTTGTCTTTGTTTCATTCGATTGAAATCCTGATGCATGTTGTGTAACTGCCTGTCATTTACTTTTTGTAGTTCTGAAATCCTTTGATTAAAATGCATCACCTCAGTACGGTGATTTGCCTCCATATGAACTATGTCCTCCGAGTGTTTAGCCTGCAGTTCATCAATCCTTTTCTTGTACTGTTCTAGTGTTTGGTGGCATGTAGCAATATCAGTTGCATATTCTTGTGTTTGACTCTGGAGTAGCTGGATCTTATCTCCTTGTTTCTTGCAAACTTCATTCTTGTCTTTCAACTGTACCCTTAAAACATGTACCTCTTTCTCCAATTCTAAAGCTTGTTTGGTACTTTCCTGCAATTTTTGATGAGCCAAACTTAACTTTTCTTCAAGACTTTGTTGTTCTTCCTAGAAAGACAAAATCCCTTTTAATTTGAATGTCGAGGAATATCGTAGAATGAAAAAAATATACAAGATATACGTACAAGTCTCTGATCCAGCTCATGCTGATCCCTGCAGACAGTCATTTGGGTTTCATATGCCAGTTTTATGGTAGATAGTTCCAAGTTTAAGTTTTCACATTCTTTCTGGGCAGCAGATAGTTGTTTCCTGAGGAAAGCTTCAGTCTCCTGAGCCTCAGTAATATGTTTGGTAAACAGTTTCTTGTCAGAATCATACTGGAGCCTAGACACAAAACAAAAATCATTTAGTTATAAGCAACAAGATACCTTACTGTCAGAGAAAAAAAAACTATCTATTGCTTACCTCAGATCAGTTAAATGTTTGAGATCTGATTCTTCTTTGGTCTTTGAAGCTGGTGGAGAAGCTGATGTACTCCTAGCTGCACGTTGTTGCAGCTCTTCAAGTGAGCTCATCAAATACTGCACCTGAATTACACATGAAGACCAAGACGTTATTACATTTTGAACAACAGTTATGATGTACATCAAATGAAGATTCATTAAAAAAAAAAAAAAGACGTTTGTGAGGATAGAGACCCTTCATGGTGCAAACCTAGATTTAGATAGATAGATAGATCAAAACATTGTTGAATAACCCCAGGTACTTTTGGATAGATAACAAAAAATACACACTGGGTGCCTCTTCACCACATTACCCTGGGCCACCCTTCCTCAAAACATAACAATGTAAAATTGCGACTTAACAAAATAATGTATCGCCTTGTGTGTACCTCTTTTGATGATTGAGCTTTGCAGAGATTCAATTCAGCAGTTTTTTTCTGCAACTGAGCCTCTTTGTCTTTCAGAGCATCTAGGAACTTGGTCTATGAAAAACAAAAATATAGAATTGTTAGAAAGCTGTGTCACTTCCTGTAGCACATGATGCTGAACCCAAATATGTGTAGAGCTACCTGCGGTTGTTGCATTTGCCGTTTAACAGCTTGAAGTTGAGTCTGGAGTGTGTGAACTTGTGTAGTAAGCTGACTTGCTTCCTGTTTTAACTCTTCACGATCAAGAACACTTTGTTTTAATGACTCAGCCAACTTGTTTATGTATTCATCTCTTTGACGCAATGCAGAAGCATGCTCTTGAAGCTGAAAGAAGTTTGGCTATTGAATATTTTCATAAGGCCAATGGTATGGCAGAGTACAATGCAAATACATACTTTTCTATTGTATTCAGCAATTGAAGCTTTGAAATCAACATCAAAACCAGATGAGAGAGGACCAATAGAGGCATCAATACAACTCATTTCCCTCACAGCATCTAATTCTTGGGTGACAGCTAGCAGAGCAGCTTCTTTCCCTGAAAGCAGAAGCAAAAGCAGGATGAAATACCAAAAAATTTATAGATTTATACCACAAAAAGAGTTGCTTCCAGCTTTGTTACCAGCTAAAATGTCTTCAAGATGCCTTATGCGGTCATAGAGCTGATCTGTGGACAATATTTGTCCAGATTTTTTTGAGGACTCATTAAGGCCATTAGAAACAGATTGCACATCATGTGGATCCTGAAATATGGTGAGTTCATTCAGAAACAAATCCAATCATAAAGGTTTCTTGTATAAAACAACTAGACTAGGTACCTACCTCTTCTGCAGTGGAATATATTGATGATTGTAAAGTGGAATCTGCAGTACCACTTGATTCCTTTTTATTTGGTGATAATTGTTGAATTTCATTTCTACTTCTCTGAGAAGTCCCACCTTCTTGAATGGAACCAGCCACATCCTAAAAGCAAAACAAAACACCTTGAAAAATAATGCATTTTAACTTCTGATTGAATCAATCAGCAAATACATAACAGAGTAATTGGGTACGAAATTAATTTCAAAGGACATCAATCTGATTCATCACGTGACTGCCTGAGGTATTGTAAACAACAATTGTCAACACTCACAAATTGATTGCACTAGATGTCAAGGGAGGAGGCTTACTTTGGAGTACCAAACCACCAAGAAGACTATATTTTTGGAATTTAAAAGCAGCCTGCATAATCGAAACTAGAAATATAGGCCAATAAGAATCCAACCTAAAAATAGATCCTGAACGGGTACGGGGATGAAAAGAAATGACTGGTGTCAAGTGATGATTTTAAAAGAGAACGCTAAAAAACCCACAGACGAAGTGTTAAGAGAAGAGTTCAACCACGTCAATGAGTCACACATCACGATAAGCCCTAAATACTTAATTTATTGGACTTCTCTCTGGACACAAACACTCACCTCTACAGCGGCTGGATTCTTCATATGGTGTTTTAATTGACCCTCCATGCTACCACGCGCTTATGGTGCCGCAAAGAAAAACAAATAGCTCCAATCTTTCCTTTCATTCATGGCCAATATCAATTGTGCAAGAGGTATGATCAAATTTCTCGGACAAACTTAGAAGTTTGTTGACAGCCAATACGTGCGGTGTGTTTTTCAACAGCAACCGTTTGTTCGACCCGTTCGTTTTGTCAATAAATGTTGCCAACACGCTCCATCTTAGTTTCGATCATGTGTGTACATTTTGACAGGCGAGGCGTCGTGTAGCCTGAATAACGTTTAATTTACTCAAAATCCGAATAGAGCGTTACAAACATATTTGAATCATTCCAATCTTTTCACAAAAGCACCATTGTTGTGTTGTTTATTTTTGCGTTGGCACTTTTGCTCTGTTGTGTTATTTTTCTTTACTTCTTCTGCTGCAGTCCGCCAAAAATGAAAGGAGAGAGTGACACCAAGTTTTCCGAAATGCGAGAAAATATGTCGGATTGTACAGCTGATGTAATTGAGCCCGAGTGGTGAGTAAATTTAATGTTATGTAGCTGTGCGATTTAAGTAACCTTCAATTTGTAGTATAGGTTTGTCAAGGGATAGAGGGATTTTATTAAGTTAACTTGCACCGGCATGTGTACGTGGTGTTCGCGGCAAAATATTTTCGATGTTAATTCGTAAGTTTATTTTGGGATACTTTTATATTCTGTGTCCACAGACGAGGAAAGGTATTGGCCCTTCAGTATTTATGAATTTCTGCTTTTGGGCAGGTTGGGGTTAATTTTACTTTTTTCTTCCCATCAAACACTAACTGCCACCTGTAATCATAACACCCTTCTATGTAGCAAATTTTTCGACCTTTTTAAGAATAAATTCTGCTACGAATATTCTATGCTATTTGTTACTGCGCCTAAGTATACTTTCCTCTTAACTTTATCGGATTTTTAATCGAAATTCATCGGGTATCAACGCCACTCTAAGCTCTTTGTTGTCAAGGACTCATAACCTGCGGGCACCTGTTGTTGAAGAAAGGCTTAAGAATTATTTTTGGTTGAGTGTTACCAAACATCCCGGAGCCACTTTTATGTCAGGTTATGTTTCTTTTATGTTTTAGCAAACGCATGAAACCGGACGTTCTTATGGAAATGGGATTAGCTATGTTAGATGATGAAGATGAACCTGTATCTGCTGGCGACTCTCAAGTAAATAATGATAATTTTGTCGTATTCCTGTACTTTGTGGATTACTTTATGCCTCCTTTGGTTCTAACTATTCACATTAATCTTTTCTTTCAGACTTTGGCTAACAGTCCATATGATAACTCTGAAACTAGACTCCTGTGTAATGTGAATGAAGAAGTGAGTTCTTTTGCTGATCCATTTGGCGACGATTTTACTGTCTTTCGGAGGCAGAAATCCTCTGGACGCTCCAGAGAAGGTGAATATGAGCTAGAGCTGTTTTCACAATTTCTGGTTGAGTGACTCAGCCTTACATTTTTTTGTTATTTCATTTTCCAGACTATTTCCGAATCCTCTCTGATGAAATTGTTCTTAGTATATTTAAGTGGTTACCCAAAAAGACACTCAACAGGTGCTCTCTCGTCTGCCGTAGATGGCGAAATATTGCAAGAGATGAGGCACTATGGACACGTCTAGATCTTGGCTCTAAAACACTCAGTCCTGGAAATTTAGCTGACATTGTGAAAACAGGAGTGCGTGTTCTACGTTTAGCTCAAGCTGATGTAAGTATTGTTTTGATGACAATCTGTAATTTTCTCCTTGTTGTGTGTTATCCAAGATTTAATTCCATCCTGCAGATTCCTGACCCGGTGTTTGGGGATGAATTATTTCCTGAAGATTACGTCAGCAGACTTCAATTTCTAGATCTCAGTATGGCTGTCATATCTGTGCCAGGTACTATTTTGATTGTTTCATTAATTTCATTTAATTTAGATTTTCTCTATTCATCATGTGCATTTTTTTCAACAGGACTTGTGTCCCTCCTTGAAAAAACAAGACAATTAGTCAAGCTTAGCCTTGAGCATTGTTGTATTAATGATGCTGCCTGTGAGGCAATTTCTCAGAACTCTCAACTGGAGGTTCTTAATTTGTCAATGGTGTATGATTTGTCAACTAATGGCTTGCGATCCATTATATCCAGGTGCCGGCGGTATGTACTTCTCATTGGTTGTGAACACATTTTTTTGCAAACAATTTCCTGGGACTTGTAAGAATTGCCCAGAGAATAGTCATTTTAGTACTTTTTTAGGGATAGGGAAAAAATGCACGCCCCTACCCCTCTTCTAATTCTTGTTAGCACATTATCATTCAAAACCCTGAATTAGGGTTTCTATCTCCATAACAACAAGCACTTTAATTCGGATACCTCACCTTGCATCCACTTAGGATGTTAAATCTAAATATACAATAAGTGAGGTCTGCATTTTTTCCCCTGTGCATTTATTACATACCATACCTTATCAATGCACACTATCTATCTATATATTATTTGTATTGGTGTGTGTTCTATGCCTTGACTCAAATTTTTCATGGATCCAAATCATTAAATATTTTTTCTTTAAAGATTGGTTGGATTGAACTTGGGCTGGACAGGTCTCAAAACTGAATCTTTGGATTGCTTGATGTCCTCCCTTCCTCCGAATCTAAGTCAATTAAACTTAAGTGGTTGTCGCCGTGCTTTTTCGGACAGACGTAAGTTGCACATACTTGTCACTTAACCTGTTTTAACAATGTTATTATAATTTCCTGTATTTATTTTTTGTCCTAAGATGTGGCTCAGCTGGTGAAAGCATGCCCTAAGCTGACTGAGCTGGACATAAGTGATGCAACTGAGATATCTGCTGCAAGTATTGACCTACTCAGTCAGCTTGGAAATCTTGAACACCTCTCCATCAGTCGCTGTTACAATATATCCTCTTCATCAGTTGTCCTGTAAGTTTTAAATACAAATTGCTTTATTCGAAAACATTTGAAATTCTCTTATCTTTTTTTATTTTTACTTTTATTTTGCTGTAGTAAACTTGCTGTCATTCCATCTTTGAGATATCTGGACCTGTTTGGTCTAGTTGCTGAGAAAAACATGCCAAATTTGCGGCGCAGTCTTCCCAGCATCAAAATAAATAAATTTGTATTCTCAAGCATTGCAAGACCGACAGTAGGTATAAGGAGGACTAGTATTTGGGGACTAAGAAGCCGGGATTGCAGAGACTAAACCCTTTTACACATTGTATTTTTTGCATCTTTTCACTCCTTTTTCCTTACTTCTAGAATCACCTTTTCTTTCTAAGAGACCGTTTGTTTTTATTAGTTTTGTAGAATATGGGGTATTTTAAATGTTTTATCTGGTGGATGACATAGTGAGCTAGCTGGGTGATCAAACAATTTTGTGTAAACCTAGTTCTTAACTATTTTTCTTTGGAACCCTTTGTTTTTCTTATTCTTTATTTCATTTTCATCATAGATGAAGTTTTTTCTGTCACGCACTGTGACCATTTTTTTTTACCATCTAAAAGTGGTAGTACTGTGATGTAAGAACATTCTTAGAATAGTTGGTAGCTTCATATCATGTTTTGCTACTGTTTCAGTCTGACTTTGAACAGCATGAAGTCAAGAAAATTTGCTCTGTTCTGCACTAGAAGTTGTGCATTTTGATTTACGTTGATATCTTTATCATTTAAAATGAATTTTCATTCCATCTTGACTGATGCTAGTTGTTTAATAGTCATTTAATTTTTGCAATGTATATTTTTATTTTCTTGGTTGAGGAGCTCCATAAGTGCCTTGTGAAGAGAAAGTAAATTGATGCTTTCCTAGACTTTAGTAAGTTAAGACGGAAGATCTCATTCAATATGAATTTGCTGCAATCAGCATTCTATAATTTTGATTCCAATTGGCCAATTTGTTAACCAATTCTTTTTGCTAGCAAGTGCGATGTTCCATAATGCACTATAAGTGTTTTGCAACTCCTGAGTACAATCAATGTATTCACCAACTCCTGGACCATGTCATTGTTGTTGTTATATCATATTGCTTTCTTTACTGTTTTTGGCATATTGAATCTTAAAATATCTTAAATTGTATCATTTAGTTATTTGCAATTCTGGTGAACATTTAGATAATCACATTTGAAAGGAGAGCATTGCTCATGTGTAGGAAATTTCTGTTACTGCTCAAAAATCTTTAGTACAAACTGTTAGTAATAAAAATTTCCTGTGCAATAGCAAGGTCATTGCACAACTTTTCTGAAAAAAAATTGTGATATTTGTAAGTTAAAGTCCAATGCCTTTGGGCAACACACTGCCATGTAGAATAAATGTTATGTTATTCATCTGATTTTCTTTTCTCTCCCTTCAGACCGGAAGGTTTTAATAACATTCCATTCACTTTAGATGCAATTTTATTTAATCATCTAAAATACCAAATAATACACCTCATCAATAACATATAAACCAGATTGACATACATTGCATTTTCTGACCACACTCTGGCATTGAGTGATCAATTTTGAACAGGTTGAGACTTGGACCAATCAACATTCAAAATTAAATGATCATACCCATGACCATTCAAACCAACAATTGCAGCACTTGCATCCTGGCGATACCTAAAGTGAACATAGGCAAAGCCTTTACAGTTTCCTGTGGCTTTATCTTTAGCAAGGAAGATTTTACTGATTGGACCAAATGTCTTGACAAGCTCCTCCAGGTCACTTTCTACCACACTCTCGGACAAATTGGAAATCCTTATAGCCAAGGTATCATCTCTCCTAGTGTTCATCGATTCTCCTCGCTTGTTGGCTCCTTCTCGCAAGCTGGGTGGGATGTACTTTGATGCAGGAGCTGCTGCCTTATCCATAGCACCTGGAGTGCCAATCGGTTTCTTCTCGGAATTTATTTTTGCTAGAGCGTCAGAACCCTTGTAAGGACACTTCGAGGTCCAATGCTCGCCGTTACACGTTCGGCATTTGACAGCACCCTTTTCAGGATTAGCTTTGAGTTTTTCCAAAGCATCTTCTTCCATTTTCATGTTCTCTTCTTCTTTTGCTGACAAGAAATGCATGTAAACGTCTTCAGAAACAATGGTAGTAGCAGGATCTGGGCCCGGTTTGTCATCTTTAGAAGCTCCAAATTTAGGCCATGTCTTTCGCGTAGCAATTGTTTTGGAAACGGTGCGTTTTTCTATCTTGTAGGTGCGAACTATTTTAACCTTTTTGTTATCATCATTAAATTTGTATTCAGTGACAACTTTAAATCCATTTTCAACCACCTCAGTGCCTGCTGGGAGGGGCCCTCTGTTGGATTCCTCATCGACTTCATCTGCCCAGCTTGACTTCACTGGCTCAGGCATATTTCTGCAAGGAAGAGAAAAAAAAGAGATTAACTGCGGGTGACCAGAAGTAACAGACAGATAAAAGGCAAAACTGCTAGATGTCTGAAGGGGAACGAAGGAATGAAATATTGAATCTTTCTTCCACAGAATCCTTCATTTGAATTGATATTTGAAGAGTTTGTTCCCCTTATCTTTTGAAGAAAAGACAAGGGTGTCGGGTGCTATTTGGGCACTAGCCTAAATGCCATGACACTCTTCTAGATGGTCTACTTAAAAATATTAGCCTTCGCCCTTCCATGGAGGAGAGAGAGCAATCCAGGTTGCCAAGTACAAAAGGCAGAGGGAAGACAGAGGTGCTGGGTGTGTGAAGGGGAACGAAGGAATGAAATATTGAATCTTTCTTCCACAGAATCCTTCACTTGAATTAATATTTGAAGAGTTAGTTCCCCTTGTCTTTCAAAGAAAAAACAGGGTGTCGGGTGCTATGTAGGCACTAGCCTAAATGCCACGACACTCTTCAAGATGGTTTACCAAAGAATATCGGCGTTTGCCATGGAGGAGAGCAATCCAGGTTGCCAAGTAAAGTAGGCAGAGGGAAGACAGAGGTGCTGGGTGTGTGAAGGGGAACGAAGGAATGAAATATTGAATCTTTCTTCCACAGAATCCATCACTTGAAGTAATATTTGAAGAGTTACTCTCCCTTATCTTACTAGAATAAGATGAGGGTGCCAATCCTATTTGAGCACAGGCCCAAACGACACGACACTCTTCCACACATTTCCTTTACTATAATTTTCCATGTTTTGTTTCCAAACTTCATTTTTTTTTTTTAAATGGGGTAAGGGTTAGTAGACTATGATTATTACAATTGGGCTTTTCTTCAATTAATTAAATGTGTTCAAAGAATCAGATATACTAACAGAATCATATGAAAATAGTAAAGTTTGAAACATTCACTTTTTATTTTTATTTCTTTTTCTTGTACTTTTCCACTTTTGTATCTTGCGCACAGCTTTTCCCTGGAATGATGTACTGTCATGCCACTCAACTTTTTAATGGAACCCTAGATTTTTCTGGAAAGAAGTTTGAAACTGGAAAAGTACTAAGAGTTCTTGAAACCCAAACTTTTTTGCATGGATTTCTGCTTAATTAAAGGTGAGAAAACTGTAGGTTAATTAAAATTAAGTAAGACCCTAATTAAATGTCCCATTTCAAGTATGTTTGCGTCCAAGAGGACATTGAAGCACTACTAAGCTTGGATTAAGTCATTGGTCAGAACGACGGATCTGCGGTAAGTATTCATGACACTTCCAGGGAAAATCAGAAGCACCACATATCAATGGAGTATTATGACAATAGCACTTAAATGTTACCTTAATGTTCTCGGACAACTAATCGTTTTGAGGTTAGGTGTGCAGAACTGTCAATAGAGTGGGTAATTTAAAGATGTTAAAAATTGGTTAATAACAAGCACAGGTTGAAAAATAACTTGTCCTCACAGATGTCTGACATTAAATGAAAGATTTATCAGAATGCTAGATCGGAAACTTGAGGTAACATGTGAGTAGCACTGTAAAGAAGATCTATATAATTCGGGAGGACACCACGGACAAACCTACTAACATTAGAACAGAAAACGGATCTAAAATATCCCCTTTCTCTAAATAAAATCTTACCTGTAGATTTAAGGAATAGTCCAGGTCATGCAAAAGGAAAATATGTTGAAACAGCACGTCAACGCACGTCACGAAGCCGCGGACGCGAGTACAAGGAACCACAGCCTTTGCGGAAAATCTGTCTGCTGCTGCAGTTTGATTCACCGAAATTTTTCATACTGAGTTCCTGTTCACGCTGCTTTCGAAAAACCGAACGTCAATCAGTCGAAATCGTCGTACACAACCCCCCGAATTGCAAGGGGGTTTGTCAAAGGTGGTGGATAGTGTTCACGTCTTAACATGCTGTGATATTTCTGTTAAATTCTGCCAATATGTCCGATCTTTTTAAGTCAGCGATCGGCTATTTCAGTAACAACAGTACTGGTGTTCCAGACAACGACTTTGTAGGCCAGGAAGTAGAAATAGGAAATGTCAAACTTCGTGTTAAAAGAGTGATAGCTGAAGGTAAGAACTGCTGTTCTCTTCACATTTCCTCTTGTTTTAGAACTGTTCTTGCCCCGATTAGGTCGTGAATTTCTACTAATGTACTCATAACCACCACGACTTTAACTTGTCATGATGAATGTCTACCTTGCAAATGATGTCAGTCTAAAATGTCAACCCCTGTCATTTTTGGTTATGTTTGCAGGTGGGTTTGCTTTTGTTTTTGTCGCTCAGGACCCCATCAGTGGCAAAGAATATGCTCTCAAGGTAAGCTGATGAGGCTTGTCTGCATTTCTATTCACTACATCCCTATAGTTGTGTAGTGGCATTTTCTATATAGTTCTTGTGTCTTATCATTTAATATAACTGTCAAGGTCATGCTGTAAGTAGAACAATGTAAACAAAACACCACTCACCTCAGTTCTTCAGTGTACAAAAATATAATTGATGTCCATTTCTTGGTATAACGTCTTTTGTTCATCCGTAGCGACTCATGGCTGCTGATGAAGAGGCAAACAAAAATATTATTCAAGAGATTAATATTTTGAAGAAATTATCAGGACATCCCAACATTTTACAGTATCTATCTGCCTCCTTTATTGACAAAGATAAAACTAGCCATGGTATGAAAGAATATTTACTTGTCACTGAGTTGTGTGTGGGTAAGTCTTCAACTGCAGACGTGCTTTTTCATCGTTCTTCCATCAGGTACTAGAAATCTAATACTGCGAATGGTTTCTTCCAGGAGGCAGCTTAGTTGATGTTTTGAGAGCTCGATCGAAACCTCTTGCTCCAGATCTTGTCTGTCAAATATTTTATCAAACCTGCCGTGCTGTTCAACACATGCATAGTCAAGAGCCACCCATCACGCATCGAGATCTGAAGGTTTAATTCTTAGTCATCAATCTCATCAAAATGATTTATTAGCTTATATGACAACTGTGTTGTTTTTCAACAGATTGAAAATTTGTTGCTTAGTGCTGACGGAGTTGTGAAACTTTGTGATTTTGGAAGTGCAACAGCTCAAATATGGTGTGTTGATGCATCCTGGTCTGCTGCACAAAGATCTCTCCTTGAAGATGAGGTATTTTAATTAACATATTTTTTCTTGACTTTGGTTTTCCTATCTATGTAATACATAAACACTGTTGTATCTTTATTTATTTTTTTCAGATGGGACGTTTTACCACTCCAATGTACCGTGCCCCTGAAATGCTTGACACCTGGAGTAACTACCAGATTGGACCAGCAAGTGATGTCTGGGCATTAGGTTGCATTTTATACATGCTATGCTTTATGAAACATCCCTTTGAAGATTCTGCTAAACTAAGAATAATAAATGCTAATTTTGTGATCCCTGGAGAGACAACGTATCAGGACTTTCATCCCATAATTAGTAATGCTATTTCTATTTACTTCAAACATTTTTTTCTTGTGCTCTACATATTATTGTTTTACTATCTATGTGTACTCCTAAATTTTGAAAATACCAGGACTTAGCTAGTGTTAATTTGTTTTCAGGATCTTGTTTGAAGGTTAATCCAGTTGAAAGATCAAGTGTCGCTGATGTGCTGGGCCAAATAGCAGCAATCGCCGAAACTAGAGGATTTAACTTGAAAGAGCCACTAAATTTAGAAGGCAAAAGGTTGGATGCTGCTTCAGTAGCCCAATATCAACAGCAGTCATTGCTGTCAGCCTCTCAATCAGGTAAAGTTTAATGAAGCAAAACTTGGCTTATGTTTTGATACAGGGTGGGTGATCCGCGCCGTCCTTTTTTTTTTTTAATGCTTATACTGTACCGAATTCTGTGGACGGGTTGTATACTCAAGGCGCCATGGCGAGCGACGGTAGGCAAGCCCGCCCGCACGCGTGAATCCGGTACAGTATGAGCACTAAAAAAAGATGGCGTGGATCACCCACCCTGTATACCTATACAAAGGTTGACTAAAAGAATCTCCTTATTTTTGCTCTGACAACTACAAATTTTATGCAGTTTCTCCATCTGCTCCACCTCGCTCATCATCAGCTAATGCAGCTCCGCCACAGAAGCCCCTACCCCCTAGACCAGCTGGCTCTCCAGCTAGACAACCATCTCCAACCTTCCAGCATCAAACTCCACCGAACCAGAGATATTCTGGCCCTCAGGTGGGGGAAGTAGCAGTTCCAGCCCCCAGTGGCTGGAGGGTATTCAGTAATGTATGATTTCTCCCCTTTTATAGTTTACATTCTGAAATAGATTTGTGGCTATGGACCTATCCTTTGCTTATTGGGTATTGGTATTAATTCCTCTGTAATCTCATCAGTTTTAGTAGTAGTTGTATTGTGCCCTACAGGGTTCTCTTCAAAAACTATGCAAACTTTCCCCTTCCTAAGTTTACTGAATTGGTGATTTCTTCATACCACCAATTTTCAATGAAAGTAATTGGAACTATTCCTTTCACAGATGACTCCTGGCAGTGGTGGTGGTGGTGGTTTATTTTCTTCAATAAAGGGTGGTGCTGGCAGTTTCCTGAAGAATCTCAAAGATACTTCGAGCAAAGTCATCAATACAGTTCAGCAGTATGTAGCTCTTCCAAAACCATATGCCTACTATGTCATTGATAATCAAACTGCTTAATGAATGACAAATTCTCTCTTTTCATTTCAGAAGTATAGCAAGGACTGACCTAGATCTTAGCTATATCACTTCTCGTCTCTTGGTGATGCCTTATCCAGCAGAAGGCTTAGAAACTGCATACCGGACTAATAATGCTGAAGATATACGGGCATTGCTGGAAGCAAGGCATATGGGGCGGTACTGTATTTATAATGTTTCTGGTCGCAGCTACCCTCCAGGAAGATTAGGCTCTGGTAGAGTAAGTACTACTCAAGAATAACCATCTCTTGTGTGGTTCTTGTTACAAACATGATTTAAACCTTTTATTATTATCAACAGGTTATAGATTGCTGTTGGCCTGGGAGCCCCTTACACAGAACTCCATCACTTTCTGCTATTTACAAAATTTGTTGTGACATGCAAATATTTTTGGAAACAGATCCCAAAAATGTGTGTGTGGTGCACTGTACAGTAAGTTTAAATTCATTTGGAATTTTCTGAAATGATAGTAAAACGCAGTAAATAGTATTGAAATACTATGTTAATCACATAAACTGAAAATTTGCCTTTTTCTCCAGGATGGAAAGGCCAATTCAGCCCTTTTGATTTGTGCATTTCTGATATTTGTTGATTTATTTGATAAGCCTGAGGATGCTGCCCAATTATTTGCTGTGAAACGTATGCCTCCAAATCTTAAACCTTCCCACATGAGGTACTATATAATAGATTTTATCAATCTAGGCTTTTAACCCTGGAGCATCTTAATCATAGAAAAATGTATCTGCAGGTATCTTCATTACTTTGCATCAGTCCTGAAATTAGACCAATCCAATGGCTTGCCGCAAATACCACACAACAAACCCATCACACTAACAAGTGTCACTCTCCAACCTGTTCCTCTGTTCACCAAAGTTCGGTATGTAGAGTCCAATCACTGTTATGTTCAAAATTATTCTTGCCTTGTTCGTAATGTGAATTTTCCTTTGTGATTTTTCAGGGATGGATGTCGTCCTTTTATTGAAGTCCACCAGGGAGATGAGAAAGTTTTATCAACAATTCAAGATTATGAACGAATGCGCTTGTTTAATGTAACAGAAGGGAGAGTAAGTGTGTCCAGAAATATATTAATGTGCATGAGTTGTTAGAATTTTCTATTAAGTTTTCAATTTTAATTTTAGGTCACAATACCGGTTAATATCAAGCTAGTTGGTGACATTACAATTGTTGCTTACCATGCTCGCAACATGCTGGGAGGTGTGATGTCTCAAGGCAAGCCAACTGGTATAAAAATTGGGCAGATCCAGCTCAATTCAGGATTTTTGCAAGAAAATGAAACCAACTTGGTGTTTAATAGGTAAATAATGACACAACCTTGTGCTGTTTAAACCTTTCATTTCTGTTGTATTGCTTGATGTTTGCTTATTTCTTTTTGTTGTCTCTTTTGTGTTTTCCAGAACTGCCTTAGATGATATGGCTGACCCAGAGCATTACCAAGATAAATTTGAAATCATTCTTCAAATTCACGTTGAAGGTGTCCAAGAACAACAAACACAGCGCCCTTTGTGGGAGTCTCATTCATCACAGAATATATCTGTTGACCTTCTCTTTTCGTCTCGCATTGAACGTGATGAATGCTTTGACAGCTTTGGTAATGACAACTTCAAACTATTTAGCACTTAAGAATCTGTGAATAAATTTCTTATCTATTTTGGGCTTCCTTGTATTTTAACAGTAAGTCGGCCAGCCACTGCCCCAAGAAATCAAAATAACACTCCACCTCCAAGACCCTCTACGAGGCCTCCCCCACCCAAGCCTCCACCACCACACTTGCCAGATAGAGAAGTGAGAGACTATAGTGATGCTGAGCCTCAGGTAAATGACTGAACTGATGTAAAGCTTGAAGGTACAGTTGGAACTTTTGATTATTTTTTTGAAATTACAGCCACCACCTTTAGAGAAAATTGGGAGTCAAGTGGAACAAGAAGCTGACCTGCTGAATCTGGGGGGTGCAACATGTACTGATAAGACCACAACACAAAAAGCCCAAGGAGTTGACCTGCTAAACATTGCTGGTAATTATTTTTTTATTTTTATTTTTTTTTCCATTATAATTAAGCCTAATAATTATTCAAGCCAAAGTTTTCTTTGATATTGTATTATTGTCACAATTCTGTTGAACTTTGCTTTTCAGAGGGTAACAGTGATGCCAGTAATGTAGATTTATTGGGTGGATTTGTTGGTGCATCAGCTAATGTCACTGGAACGCCATCCAATCAATCTAGAGGTTTTCTTGATGATTTACTGGAAACTTCAATGTCAACTCCGCCACAGCAACCTCTGCAGACTGCTCAAACCCCTCAGAAGCAAACTGAGCCAGATATCATGCTTGATCCTTTTGGGACTAGTTCTCAAGTAAGTTCTAATATGTAAATCCCATTTCTTTTCTGCAGTTTGACAACATAATTTATTCTTATCTTCTTTAGAGCTACATTGGCCTTAGTAATGGTATGGCCAACACCCCTATGGGTGCAGGGATGGCTGGAGTGAATGGTAACTTCATCAAGCCTCAACAACACAACTCACCCCTGCTCAGTCCCGCAGGATCTATGCCACGTAATTCAAGCACACCAAATCTTGACAGTAACAAGAAAGATCCATTTGCTGATATTGGTAAGGCATTTGAAATGTTTGTGAGCATAGACAGTCTATCTGGCAACACTTTGTGCCTTCTGCTTTTCTAATGAATATTTTCTAATACAATTCCTACAGGAAACTTAGGTTCTTCATTGGGCGCTGGTAACAGTAACTCTGAAAGTGGTTGGGGAGCAGGTGGGTCTAAACCTACATCACCAATGAATGGGAGCCCTCAGCACCGATCTACCAACTGGAATCCTTCTCAAGGTGCCACAAGTCCTATGCCTGGAGTAACTCCCACTGGCACACCAGTTCATCAAATGAAATCTCCTATGGATGGCCCCAGCAGACCTGATTACAGCCGTTCCCATTTTGACACTGCATTTAAACCTTCTGATCCTGGCAAGTTTCTCTAGATTTTAGCAGTTTTTCTCTAATTATAAGTGTTTTGAAGACTCATTGTAAATAATGTTTGTTTTCTTATGATTGAATACATTTATTTCTATTTTCTGCAGCAAAAGGGAAGACCAAAGGTTCTGCTGATGTGTTTGGTGATCTTCTTGGAAGTCAAGGATACGAGTTCAGTGCAAAAAGGGATGCTGGTCCTCGCACAATTAATGAAATGCGTAAGGAGGAGTTAGTGAGAGAAATGGATCCTGATAAACTTAAGGTACTATTTTCGTCTTCTTTTCTGTATTACTTTTGTATGAGGTAATTTAGGCTTAATTTTATCTAATGCTCATTACAATGTTAGATTATGGAGTGGCAAGAAGGCAAGAAAAATAATATTCGAGCTCTTCTGTGTTCAATGCACATGGTTCTTTGGGACAATGCTAAATGGAACAAAGTTGAAATGCACCAGCTGGTTTCAGCTACTGATGTCAAAAAGGCATATCGAAAGGCATGTCTTGCTGTGCATCCTGATAAGGTAAGGATATGTTACGGGTTAAGTCCGTTAGTCGGCTAATGTCGACATTAGCCGGTTAAAGTCGACTTTACCCGAGGCAGCCTGATAGAACCGTCTGAGGGCCGAGGAGGGCTTCTCGGGGCGGACATTAACCGGGGGGAGCGGCGGATAATGTCTGTGGCGGGGCGAGAGAAACATTCTCACACTCATCATCGTGGCACCCCCATGACAAGCGACAAGCACTGTTGCAGGCAGCGGAAACAGTGGCACTATTGGAGGAGGAGGGGGGGGGGGGGCGTATCAGGGGAGAAGCCGAAGGAGCTCTTTCCCGACCTGAAAATCGTCAAATCGTCCATGGAACGCGACGCCACAGCCAGAGCTAGGGGTCGGTCGAGAGGGCTAACCGAACGGTCCAAGACAGACTCACAGCGTGGATGCTCCAACATCGGACTAAGGAGTGGGCAAGGGGACTTCCCTTGGGGCAGTACAGCATTAATTAACAACTCACTGCAGGACGGGATCAAGAGATCCCCTTACGGAACAATGTTTGGCCACCCTCTTCGGCTCGGACTCGGAAGCATGTTCCTCTAGAAGATCTGCAAGCTACATGAATTTACAGTTGCCCTCTCACCCCACCGTCGACATTACCCGCCGCTCGCCAGTTAATGTCTACTTAAACCGGCGACATTAGCCGACTAGCGGACTTTACCCGTTACAGATATATTGTATTCAAAACAAGTAATTGTATCTTGAAATGAAAACCATTGCAAGTATTGCAAGAACCCTACTAAAGCTAACTATATTAATCACTCTTTTTTTTTTTTCATTTTTCTCAGCAAATGGGCACTCCAAATGAAAATATGGCAAAACTGGTATTTATGGAACTAAACAATGCTTGGTCAGATTTTGAAAATGATTCCAGTCAACAAAATATGTTTGGCTGAAATATGTTGGATAACGCCCCTTATTTCTTGTCATGCCTCCAAAGTGCAGTTTCTAATAGAGAGGCTTAATACATATTATTGCTCTGAATGGAATGTGGGATACCCCACTACATCAGTTGTATGTACGTATACTTGCTTTCAAGAATGCCCCTTTCGTTTTTGTTGTTTTTGTTGCTCTTTCTGTTCAGTTGAAGGTGTGGGACGACAACTTTCCCTCCCTTCTGCGATCTGTAAACAGTATATCTTTATGAAACTTCGTACTAAATATTAAACATAGCAGTTGCTGTTCCTTGGGTATGTCTTGCTCTCTTCCTGGTAGTGTTTGAAAAGTGTACAGATCATACAGGAGCAATGATTTTCAGCTGCTAATTTTTTTAAGTTGATCTCAATGCACTTGTTATCATATTATTGTGAACAATAAAAGATTTCTTGTAAGACCTTTCAGAAGACAAATGTGAAGCTTTTCATTTTCTTGTAATCATTATTATTTTTGTTAAACTTACAGTGTGTTACTGGATGAGGCATTAAGTAGATACTACTCCACCCTTCATATATTTACTGTATGTAAACCTTAAAATGTTGCAATAATATTGGTCGCAGTGTGTGTGCGTGTGTGTGTTTATGGTTAATTGAATGTTTGTATGTATGTATATATATATGTGTGTGTGTGTGTGTCGATTGGGTGCATGTTTATCTGTCAGTATATGATGAGTGTTGTTCTGTTGAATAGTATGTATTCTAGAAAATATTTATGGAGCTCCTATCATTTATAGTTTGTTTGTAGCTCTTAATTTAGACTTTGAGAAAGGGTCATTGTTTAAAAATCAGCTATATTATGAAATTTTATTGTATTTTTATGAAAATTATGGAATGTTAAATTTTTATGCTACAAAGTTCACAATTATATGTATTACATTCCATGGAAAGTGCTTTTGTGATCAGTAATGCTAACACGCATATGAGCTTGCAGTCAGGACTAGAAAATGAAACAACAAAACATCCTCTTGTCAAACCTGATGCCTTGTTTGGCTTTAGTCACATACCCTCATAAATTTCGGTTTCTGGTTCATATTATGACATTACTTTTGGTTTGTTAAGTGTATATTGGTAAACAATATAATTTATTTTACTGTTTTATTAGTGATTGCACCTTTCCCTTAAAGTTCCCATGTGATTTTTTTCATTACCAGAGAGTATGTCTGAGAAATCTACACCTCAAACATAGTCTTTCCAGATCTTACTTATGATATTATCTATTGCCTAGTTAAAAGAAAGAATACCCATTTCATTCCTCACCTTTTTCCTTGCATCTGAAGTGATTTTGAGTTTTCCCTTGTGATGCTCTGTGATGCTTTGCTTAGCCAAGCTGTTTCTTTACTTGTTGGTAGGAAAGCATTTTGTATTAAATGTAGGTTACAGTTGACACAAGTTACTGTGTCACTGAAACTACTGTGGCTTGATATTTTCCCACTAAGTTGGTAACTGTTTTCAACAGATTTAAAATTATCTTGTCCTTTCATTTTCTACTTTTCAGCTAGTTAAATGCCTTACTATTATTTTTGATTTCTCTTGTTTCTTATACTTCTCTTGTCTTACACCAAAAGCTACATGGCCGAAATTGTAGACTAAGTACTGCAATTGTGTGACATTAAAACTTTGAACTCTAACCGTTTTGGGCCTTCAACATTTCCCTTTTAATCATTTTCCAGAATGAAGTGTTGATTGTTTAGTCTCTTGGTAGCCGCTACCTCTCAAATTTAGAAAACATTTAATGAAATGTAATTACTTTGGGCTTTCTTACCTTTTTTTTTTTCATAACAAATATTCTTAATCTCTTTGAATGCATGTGCAGTGGACTGCATTTGGACATAATTCAAAATTTTATTGAGAACTGTTTCTTGGAAACATGATTGTAGAATACCAGGTTATTTGATATTTATATGTCTGGCGATCTTTATTATGACAGCTAATTTGTAATAGTATTTATTGTACCTACAGTAATTTAAGGAAGTTACTATGAATATAATCAGAAATTTCTCTGTTCCATTCCAGAAACCCTTTTCAACAGAGAAAACGTCGGTGTATGCTTGCTTGACTACCCTCTCTGGTCGTAAGCAGCCATGGCTCCTTTTTGTAGGCAATCACACATGCATTGACGTCTTCTGTGTTGATCAGAACACATTGATTGCCTGATTCTGCTTTTTCACCCTTTATTCTTAACTTCAGTGGCACACTCTAAACCCCCAAAGCAAACAAATTTTTACTTAGGTGAAGGTTTATGTCACATTAATATATTCAGTCTAATATCTAGAGAAATAAATTTATTCATTGTGATATCAGTTGGTATAAGTTGCAGTTAGCACCACCATGAGGATTGCAATGTAATTTAATTACAAATATTTTGTTATTCCACACCTAGTTGTGGTGTGAGCTTTTCTCATTGTGTGAAAGTATATCTATTTGTCTGAACAGTTGTATGCTCTTCAATGTGAAAGGTGATGATTTGTATGAATTGGTTAATGAGGTTTTGTGTTCTGCCCTCTAAACAAGGTCCTGTTTCAGATTTATTCTGGAGTAGTTGTTGCAGTAATCTGTATGTTGCAAGGGCTTGCAGCACAGTTGCTTATATATTACTGTAAAAAACAATTTGGGTGCTGGAATGCGTTAAATTATGGCAAATCAACTGTAGTAGAACACAAAATTTAATTTATCTCACATGAAACTAGAAAAAAAAAACGGCAATTCTATTTTCTTGGCTGTAAAAATAGATTGTATGGAGTGTACAAAAGTACAATAAATAAATATACTGAGTTGAATTTCATTTTGTCAAACCAATCACACAGTTTAAAAATTAAAAGCCCAAACTTTCCCGTTTAATTCTTTTTGAACACCTGGATGGTGTCACTGGAACTTTGAAACCAAAATCTTCTTCAGGAAATCCTATATCATCAGACTTACCAGTCGTATCCTTTAACCAATTTTCAACGTACGTTTTAGATTCAACTTTTGTAGTTAAGCCTTCACTGTCCCAAGCTTTTAATAGAACTCCTGCCATAAGATCTTTATAGGTTCCCAAATCACACAATGTCTTCTTAAAATCTGAATCATCTAACTCCTCTCCTACACAAAATTCGCAATGTCTTGTCTCGTCTTTACATTTAGAAAAAGTGGAATGCCATTTCGAAAGTTCGGGGTTTGAGTCTTTGCAAGACTTTAATGCTGCAAATTTTACAATATATGGGTGAGTAAACACTAACCTTAAACGGACTTCATCGTAATTATCAGAGAGTCTTATGAAATTTTCATCTTACCTTTGAACGATGTTTCATAGGAGTATGTTGGGCATCGGAGGTCAGGAATATATTTAGCACACACTTTTTCATGGTCTTTCTCCCATCCTTCCCACAATTTTATTACTTCTTTAAATTCTTTCTCTCTACTGGAAGCATCATACTGGTCGCTTAGTCTTACTTCAGGAGCAAATTGCTGTGAGATGACATCTCCAATGGATGTTGACTTCAAGGACATAAATCCATTGTTGCCATCTTGCCACAATAAAATCAAACCAGTAGTTGCCATGTGCAATCTATTTAGGATAAAATATACTATCTTAACCAGTGCACTTAAATAATCACAGCTAGTCAAACTCACAATAGTAATTTACCTCTTTTTCAGGCTGGCCCCAAGACATTTGCCATAGGCATTTGCTCTCAGAAGGCAATCTGCTAAAGATGGCAGTCCAATAGGAAAAGTTTCAGAGATTGGTTTACAATCTTTCCATTTATTCACAATTGCATTTGAGTCATCTGATATGGAGCTACTCAAAATCACTACTTCTTCTGACCTGCAACATCCAGAATGAAGAGTTAAGCTCAGCCTGTATTGTGTTGCAAGGTTATTCAACACAGAGATACTAGGTTTAGAGCTATTTAGCAAAATTACCCTGTTCCTGGGTATACTGAACCATATAATGGCGGCTGCTGCATGAGGTGGGACCAACGTTGAGTCCATCCAGAACGTAGATCCAAACTCAATAAATGATGATTAGTAGCAACATATGCCAATGGTGAATTTAAAGAATTTAGAAGGAAAGAGAGATCCTCACAGTCATCCACAATTTGCTTTGGTGAAAATTCAATGACATTTTGTGAAAGAGGCATCTAAATGGACACAAATTTATGGAAACAATTATAACAAGAGAAAAGCGGTATAAAGATAGAGCATGGTTGAACACTTATTTTTACATCCCTTTAAACACAATAACAGTGTTCAAGGTTAATTAAATGGAATGAAACATAGATGAAACATATCATACCCTTCTGTCTTTTATGTAAATTGTTTTCCTATTCATAACAAACAAGTCATCAGATCTTGTACTAAATTTCACAAATCCCCAGGATCTACTGTTTGGCTCATTACCACAAACTGGCATTTCTGCACTGCCAGTACAAGAACTGCAAAGGGATAGATAGAGATTAATTATCCATTTTGCCTTTAACAAGAGGTTCAAACTAGTTTGAGACATACCTGGTATTTAGATCCCATAATTTCAGAATTTGATCAGAATCTAAAGTACAAAATTGTTTGTCCTCCACCTGGCTGATGTCAATGCTAACAAACACCCCATCTTTCTCCTGTATTTCCAAGACAGTTCTGGCACTTAAAGGTTTTTTCAGCCCTTCTTTTATGCTGACTATAGAACAAGTTTTCTCTTGCCTGACAGCAGCAATACCTCAACAGAAAATAGAAACAAAATAATAATTATCAATGTAACTGTATGTTTATAAAACAAGAATTTCTTTTGAACTGAAACATAAAACAATTTAGTTCAAGTAGTACCTCGGTTTCCAACATTACTGCAAGCAATTTGGTAAATTCTCTGGCCTTCAGCTAGAGGAACCTTAAGGGGGGCTTGTCTACTTGCTGATATTTCATTTACAAGTATATCAAGACTCGTGATACCTATATAACAATCAATCAACATAAAATAATTTACTACTCCCAGGCTGGTGACAATCCAAACAAAAATGACTTACGTAACAAGTTCATGTTCTCCCCTGTGGGATGCAGAATATATTTCTCTCCATTAACTGTACACTCTGACAGGCATCCTCCAGTAGCGAGCCAATTGTATTTCTATAAATATGTCAAAGTTACATGGAATGGTTATCACATAAATCAGTATATGAACTTATTGTTGAATTTTAATTTTTACCCCAGAGAAATAAGGATGAGGGTCAGCAGCAATGTGCTTCGCAACTGCAACATGGCTGCTCACGGTATAAATGTGCTCCTTAGCATCATTTTTCTTCACTTTTGAAGTGTGAAGTCCATACTTTTGCTTCTCTGAGCAAGGTAAAAAGTATAAAATTAGCACAGGGCTTGTCAGTTGATGAGATGAATCACTTGCAGTAAATCAGCTTACCAGCCCATTTCTGTCCTCGTTTTGCATTACGGACTAAGGCATCAAGGTCATTCTGCCACTCTTTCTTGTCCTGCAATATCTTAGTTAGTGGGTCGCCATCTTTAAGGCCTGGAAATATACATTACAAATAAGTGCGCATAAAATTTCAAGCTGATATGTTTAACTTTTGTAACATTTACTGCCTACAGTCAGGATTAATCTTTGAAGGGGGTAAGAAAGGCTTTGGCAGATGAACCTCGTATTTAAATCGCGAATCCAGCGGTATATGAGGTTGGCCAGCATTTAGGTGAAGATTGGGTGTTACCGCTAAGCAATGCTGGTATGACACTCTTGCTGTCGTTTCGTTTTTAAAATGAGAAAATTCACCCAGGACGTTTCGATAAACAGACTCAACAAGAACGTTTTCTGAAAGAGAAAGTCTCATACATTATACATTACACAAATAAGACAAAAAAAACAATATATCTAAAACCCTACGGGCAAAATGCCCACGTTTGTCTTAGGTTAATCAAAGCTATAAACAGATGAAACACTTGTTGAGGAGTCAAGAACGTATTACCCACCTGATTTCTCATCGTCCATGGTTTATAGAAAGAAATTAAACATAAATATGAGATGAAATGATCTTGACCACACGGTTTATGATTTGTCTGAAATACCGCACGTGCCCAAATTCAACATCAACACACACAACGAACACAACACACTACTGCTGACACGCAACACCAACAGTTCGACTAGAAAACACAACAAACTACCCTACAAGTACCGAGCTTTGGCGGTGCAAGATTATAGAGTGATCAATTGAAAATAAAAGAAATTGTCTCTCGTTGAGATTCTGGAACCTTCAGGTCCTCCTTATCCCGCGTCATCGGCGGTATATCCCGCTGGGTGTGCTTGAGGTTGCCAGCCCCAGCGTTGGTAGGTCTGCTCCCTCCATTATTGAGCGTCGTCTGCTGCGGCGTTGTGGCGCCTCTCCTCTCCGCCCCCCGCGGCGCGCTCCGCCGCTCCGCTCCGCCCGCTCCTCGCCCGCGACTCCGGTTGGTTGGGCTGAGCTTGGGCCCCTCTACCTCTAGGCCCCAGCGGTGGAGGGGGCGGCACAGCGCAGAGGGCCCGGGCACACCGGGCTTTGGCCTGGCTTGCAGTCTCACGCTGAGATCGCTGCGGCTCAGGACACGGGACGAACGGACCGGCGCCGGGTGCCGCACCGGGTGCCGCTTGGCCAGCCCGGCCAGCACAGTTGTTGGCCCGACCCGAAAACACCCGCGACCCGCGAGGACAGTGCGAGTGTGTTCAGAGCGGCCCCCGCGGCCACCCGCCCCAGCGGCATGCAGCGCGCGAGCGCGAGCGGCTGCGGCAGCGGCCCCCCGCAGGAGGGCGAGCAGCTCGCCGATCTGCACGCCGCCGCCCAGAGCACGGCGGGGTCGCCGGCGGCCAGGACGCCCGAGGAGGAGACGGCGTCCACCTCGGCCCTTGTGGCTACCTCGGTGGAAGGGTACCACCCCTTGTTCCACCACCCCCAGTGGGGCGACATGCTGGGCCCGGGCGGTTCCCGACGCGATCAGCTGATCGCCGCCTCCCCCGCGCCCGCCCATCCGGCGTCCGTCGACGTGCTGCAGGGCGCGCGCCGCTGCGGCCGCCGCTTCATGCGCGTGTTCAGCGACAACCTGCACAACTGCTACGTCGACCTGCTGGACTCGAAGCACATGATGGAGTTTCGCGCGCGCGCCTTCAAGCGCCGCCTCTGCCGCGGCTCCAAACGAGAGCCCGACAACGAGCTCTACCGCAGCAACAGCTTCAAGTTTGAGCGCTTTGAGAGGAAGGACGACCCCAACGACAAACAGGTAAGGGGGGAAGGCCTACCCTGTGTGGCCCTCAGTCCTCACTTCTTTGCTTTCCTCTGTTGTTCATCATATCAAATGGACATCTTGCTGACATGACGTTTGACGAGCCGAACATGAAGCGACAGCCGCGTCTACACCGGCCTACAGCGTGGTGCCGACCTGGTGTTTGCCTGCCTTCTTTTTGTATCGTCAATGATCCGGCCGCCACAAGACAGGGAACTCTCTTCCAATCTCGCTGGGTCCGGTCCCACGCCGCGGCGTGCCGCGCTGCCCCATGCATGCGTGACGGTCGGGGGCACGCCCGGGCCCGGGCACGCCCCTTCGTCCGGGAGGCGTGCTACTTGACGCTGTTTGACGCGCCGGGCCGGGGCCCTTGGTAATTAGGACCACGATAAGAAGTACGGGAGCCCTCTGCGCCGCTCTGCGCCCTGGCCCGGCTGGGGCCCGGCTGGGGCGGTGCAGGCAGGAGTGCCGCCGGGAGACCGAAATGAAATCATGTTGCTGTCATAAATATGAGAGCAGCAGCGGGGCCTTCGGGGGTCCCGAGGCCGGTGGGTGGCCGGCGGAGGAGGGGGCGGCGGTGCCCCCCCTTTCCCTTCCTCCCCTCCCCCCAGCTCACCTGGGCCCCGCGGCGCGCGGCCGCCCGCTCCCGGCGCACATCATCACCACCGGGAGGGCCGAATGATACACTGCCCAATTTCGAGTCCGATAATGGTCTAGGGTCTGAGCCGGGGCTGGGACTCGGCCGCCCGCGCCCCTCACGACAACGCTCATGGTCATTGTGATCAAGCTTCCTGCCTACACGCCGCCGGGGTAAAATAATGAAAACAAAGCCCGGCCTGTGCCGCCCCGACTTGCTTGCGCGGTCAGTGGCCGGCCCGGCGCTCTGCCGACGTCATGAGCGGCATGACAGCTGACGGGGCGGCTGCTGCTAAGTGCCGCGGCAGCAGCAGGCGCCGATGCCGATGTCACCAGCGCGAGGTGAGGAGGTGAGTGGCCGCCGTGCCGGCCCCGCGGGACCCGCCACGCCCCGCCCCGCCCCGACGTGCGTCTGTTGCCTGCTCGATGACGCCCTCCATGTAATATTGATCGGTCCATGAGGGTGAACGGTGCGTACTAACGGGATTGTGGCGGAGCGTGGCTGAGCGTGGCCTGACACCCGCGGAAGGATATCAGCAAAGCGGTCATGTGCACTCGCGCCAGCGGGCAGGGTGAGGGAGGTGGGCATTGAAGCAGTGGCGGCGGGTCACTTTGTTTATCGCTGATAGGCGCACGGGGTTGCGAAGGGTTGCTGGGGATATATCCAGCGGTGCGGACCCGGCGCCCTGAACCCCTGGCCTGCCGGACCGGACAGGCACACGCACACAGACCCACGCACGCACGCACGCTTTTATTCGTACGGCGGCGTAGGGGGCTGGAGAAAGTGAGCTGCGAACCAATGTCAAACTGCGGCTGTATGCTGTATGTATGGCGCCCCCTGCCACCGGCCCGTCGGCGCGAGTATCCAGCAGCAACAGCAGCCGCGCTCTTAGGGAGCCGGCTCGAGAGGATTGTACCACTGCTTGTACACTCTTGGAACCGCTGTTGGGTGGCGTCGTCGCTCGTCGCGCCCCGAGCTGGCCAGGGCTGCGACCGCTGCTGCGACAATGGCTGGGAAAGTCATTCAATGAGCCGCGATGCGTGCATGCGTGGTTGTGCCGTCGTGTCAGTCCGCCGGCCACGCCCGCCCCGCCAAACACACTCGGCGGACATGACCAGAGCAAAAGGCGTCTCTGTTTCGCTTGTCACTGCGCGTGCTTCGCGTCCGGCCGGGGTCGTTGAGAACCTGCGCGCGCGCCGCTGTCGGTGTTGGCCGTCGGGGCGGCGCGGGGCGGCGGCGCGGCGGCGAAGGTGGAAGAGGAGGGGGAGGACTACGTCTCTCAAAGAGGCTGCCGACTGGAGTTTCCTCCCGAGCTGTCCCCGCGGTCTCCGTGGACCGTGGTGGACCCCGTTAGCGCGTGGGCAGCCAGTACACGAGCGCGGAGCGCGGCGCACCAGTCGCAGCTGCTGCCCCCTCCCCCCTCCCC